CAAACGGGCGGTCCTCATCCCTGTTGAGCTAGTAAAGACCACATGCCATTAGAACTTGAAAACCGGAGTCGACGACGCTCGCATTTTCTGGCATCCGAATCCAACGGCGCGTTTCTGAATGACTTATCCAGCCCGCAAACTATTTGTCCGCAATAGAGTGGACCACGGTAACGGATCGCATCCTTTACTGCGGACACTGCAGCATGCAGTACATTACTCGACTCGGACATTGTTTACTTGAGAGTTCTTTAGAATTTCAAGTATAGTCTGGTCTTTAAAGGCCGTCTGGATTGCTATTTTTTTCGTGGTTGGAGCATCTGGCGCGTTTAGCTGCCGAACCTAACTGCAAGGCTGTGATGAAAAGCGCACTTATTTAATCGACGTTCACGATCATCAGCTCAGGGTGTGGTTGTCGGGCTTTGAGGTATTCCAGCAGGCGTACCGGGCCCCAATGCCACACACACACACACACACACACACACACACACACACACACACACACACACAGTGACAGCATTTTTACTACTGGTCCGTGACTGCCTATTCGTCAGACGGCACAGCCTGTTTACTTTGTCGTTACCGTTCACTCAAGGCCATTTCACTATCTGCCACGCATGTATACCAAGCATGCGAACGAACCCTTTTCCTCGGCGCTGGTTGTCGTTTTATCGACTGGTTTGTTGAGAAACGTAATAAGGCAAAATAACTATTGCGGGAACACTTGTTTACACTCAAGAGAGGGGCAAAATACTTAGAGGAAGACAACACACATATTACGTGATTGGCTGAAGCCTTCTATGACGCTGGAATCCCAAGTGAACACATTTGCAAGTCTTAAGTGTTACACCGAAGTTGTCAGGCTGAAGGTCAAAGAAGCCGTCCACCACATTATAATCCAAAGGCCGGCCTTTCAAGAAAATTTTGTTGCATTTGACCCAGTGTTGAAAAACTCGGTGGAATTCGACAGCAAGATCGGGCTTTTGGATTTAGAAGGTATCCTCGATGAGGAAGCTTACTGCATCCAGTCCTTCCTCCAGCGTGCCGCTCGAAGGGAACTGGACTTGGTTGAAAATTCTGATACTGGTGGCTTTTTATGCTTGATGTATAGAAATGGCGCCGGCAGATCTGGTGGTTCAGTCTGGAGCTATCGCAGTGATTTAAGTCAACAGGTAAAACCCAAGTGAACCTATTAGTCATTCTAAGTCGTAGGCCGAAGTTGGCATGCGGAAAATTTCGTAGGCGGAAGGTAATAGCAGCCGTCAATCACATTATTTTGCAAACAGCGGACTTTCAAGAAAGTTTTAATGCATTTATATACTACTGGTGGCTTTGTATGCTTGATGGTATGGATCCGAAGTGACATCTCCCTTGCCACGAAGATTCGTGTGTACCGTGCATCCATCCGGTCAGTCCTCCTCTGTGGATGTGAATGATGGGCTGTGCGCGCTGAAAATGAGCTAAGACTGGAGGTCTTTGACCACCAATGCCTGAGGACTATCTGGCGAGTTAAGTATTGCGACTTCATCTCGAATGAGACAGTCCGCACCCGCTGCGATCGTATCGCCAGGATATCTCAGGCCA